GTGGCTTGCAGGTAGCAAGTGTCTTTGTTCCTACCATTGTTACTTTGTCCTTGATCACATGGTTGGGATGGTAAGATCTGAACGGCTTTTTTTGTTATATTTTCCTTTTTGTGATATAAAATATGTGACCATCTAATATTGGGTACTTTTATTGATTTATTGCAGGTATGTTGGTGGAGTTTCTGGAGCCTACCCAAAGCAGTGGCTTCCTGAAAATGGGAATTACTTTGTTTTCGCCCTTATGTTTTCAATATCCGTGGTGGTTATTGCATGTCCTTGTGCTCTTGGCTTGGCTACTCCAACCGCTGTCATGGTTGCTACAGGAGTTGGAGCTAATAATGGTGTGTTGATAAAGGGAGGAGATGCGCTGGAAAGAGCTCAGAAGGTTAAGTATGTTATATTTGACAAGACTGGAACTTTAACTCAGGGCAAAGCTAAGGTCACAACTGCAAAAGTTTTCTCTGAGATAGATCGTGGAGAATTCCTTATGTTGGTGGCTTCTGCAGAGGTAATCTCTAACAGTCTGACTAGATTCGAAATAAGTTTTCTCCCCGTGTGTGTGTATTATCATGCCATTTCTGGTCTCATGTCCTACAAAGGGAATTTAAACAATAAAAAGAGCAAATCTATTAGCAGACTTACATTGAAGGACAGAGTAGTCATGCCTCCTTTTTAAATGCATTTCTACAGTCATTGAATTTCCCCTCTTCTTCTCATTATTTAGGCTAGCAGCGAACACCCATTGGGCAAAGCAATAGTTGACTATGTGCGCCACTTCCATTTCTTTGATGAAAATTCGCTGACAGAAGATGCCCAAAACAGCAGCAAAGGATCCCCTGCTTTTGCATGGCTTCTTGATGTTGCTGAGTTCTCTGCTGTGCCAGGAAGAGGAATTCAATGTTTCATTAAAGAAAAGCAAATACTTGTGAGTGCTCGGTCATGGCTGTTTATAAATTATGAGGTTTAAGAAATTGTCTTTATTACTCTTATCAAACATGGTATTTATGAATAGGTTGGTAACCGGAAGCTGCTTACAGAAAGTGGAATTAGCATTCCTACGCATGTAGAAACATTTGTTGTTGATTTGGAAGAGAGTGCCAGGACAGGCGTACTTGTAGCCTATGATGATAATGTTATTGGAGTTTTGGGTGTAGCAGATCCATTGAAGAGAGAAGCTGCTGTGGTCATAGAAGGCTTAGGGAAAATGGGTGTCATACCTGTCATGGTTACAGGGGATAATTGGAGGACAGCTCAGGCTGTTGCTAGGGAGGTTCGTATACTACATACATACATATGCATTGCATTAGTTTTTTCTGGGATTTTGTTGAAATACTGCTTACTCATATACAACGATCGATATTGCATCGGTTGTGTCAGCTGTATTGGAATTTACTGGTTCGATGCAAGTTGAAAACTCATCTAATCTGCTCATAACAATAATAAGGTAACATGCCTTGAGTCTGTGCGGACTGTAGATTGAACAAATTGTATTTTTATTTGGACAGGTGGGCATTCATGACTTTAGAGCAGAGGTAATGCCAGCTGGAAAAGCCGATGCGGTACGATCATTCCAGAAAGATGGAAGCATTGTGGCTATGGTGGGTGACGGGATCAATGATTCTCCTGCTCTAGCAGCTGCAGATGTTGGTATGGCAATTGGGGCGGGGACTGATATTGCCATAGAAGCCGCGGACTATGTTTTAATGAGAAATAACTTGGAAGATGTGATCACAGCCATCGATATCTCCAGGAAAACATTTAGCCGTATAAGGTGGAACTATGTTTTTGCAATGGCGTACAATGTGATTGCAATTCCAATCGCTGCCGGGGTACTCTATCCTTCATTGGGGATTAAGTTGCCACCGTGGGCAGCTGGTGCCTGTATGGCTCTTTCTTCTGTTAGTGTGGTGTGCTCGTCTTTACTTTTGCGGAGATATAAAAAACCCAGACTTACCACTATACTAGAAATTACTGTCGAGTAGAAAGAATATCTGAGCCAAGTTTCCCAGCTTTGTGGACTTTCTTTCCTACCTCTCCTTTTTATTCATGCGGAATTGAGGGAGCAACCCCACTAAATGTAAATGTACTTGTATGATATATGGTCCTTTATGTGTTGTTTTCTCTCTTCTTTACCCCAACAGTGGTTTTTTTGTTGCGTTCCTTTTAGTTCAGATTAATCTGTGTCGCACACTTAATTTTGGTGAATGAGTAGGGATTTTGCTTCATATACAAGATTTCAAACTCAAGACCTACTTAATTGATATTAAACTACTTATCACTTATTTAAAATTGTGTAGTAAAACATGTTATTGCACCTTGCAACGGTTACATTTCTTATGTAGGGTCGGGTTCAGGATGAATGATTTCGGATGGTCGTTGGCATCGTTGGAATAAATTTTTTGTAAACTGACCTGGACAACAACCGTGGGTCCCTCCTTAGAATTTTCAAATTTGGAACTAAACTTTACATTTCTCTAGTTTATGACATCCAAATTCTATTTATTTTCACTCTAGTTTCTAAAACTTGCAATTATATCAATTTAATCCTAAATTTCAATTTAATCTTTTATGAACCTAGAGGAAAAGGGAGTAGAAGCTAGGGATTGAACGAGATTATGCCAAATATGAACATAAAAGCTTGTCATATATGCACCTAGCAAGTAGGCTATGGCGACTTTTCAAAAGCTAGAATTTTAATTGCATGTTGCTTGGGCAAAACTCATCCATTGGTAATCCAATCCAATTTAGACCGATAACATATGTATCGTCATGTCATGATGTATATGCGTACCTTAATGCAGAAGAAAAACGGGTAAAACAGCCGAGATTTATTAAAGAATTTCAACTAGGACGGGCACAGGATTTCGAACCCGACAGGTATCGATTTGATCCAATTTTATTGAATCGGATTTCTTTTTTAAAGAATCTCAAGTTCAGGTTAGATCGTGTTCAGATTTAGAATAAAAAATATCTGACCCGATCAAATCCGAAAAAATGTAATTTTACTTTATATATTTAAGGATAAGTACAATAATACCACTCTATATATTTTTTTCAATTAAATCTTTATTTTTTTATCGAATAAAAGTAATTTTTTTATAAATATATTATTTCGGATTGAGTCGGATTTGAGTTTTATCTAAAAAAAAATGGGTTAAATTCGAGTCGAGGAAAAGATGTATATTTTTCGGATCAAATTCGGACTAAGTGAAGAATATATAATTTTCAGATTAGATCGAATTGACCAAAAAATCGACTGAACCCAACTCATGCCCATCCTATTTTCAACAAGGAAACCCACATTTAAATTCATTAGTTGTTTTCAATCAATAAGTTGACCAAGAAACAAAGACTCGCCAAAGGCAAAATGTCCAAAATTTAGCCTACACGCATGTGGTAGGATGGTGACCCGTTTGATAATATTAACACACGAAGTTTCCAGGAAGCTCCTGTGCAATGGGCTCAAGCCAGTGCATGCAGGTCAGGAGTATCAGGGACTTAAAAGTCGTCCGCGAACGTAATAGCGCTCACTATATAGCGGTAGTGATGCCGTCCGCTATATAGCCGGCCTAGAGTTTCCAAGAAAAAGCCCACCACCCTTCTCAATGCTAACACCAGCAATTTTCGAACCTTGGTGCAACGATTTACAGGATGTCCTACAACTCCCCTTTCAACCAACAGAAGATCAGGCCCCATTGACTTGAATCTCTCCCGGACTCGACATAATCGAAGTGGTACTGCGACTTCCGCAATGTCAGCCGATGGAAACTCCTATTATTATCAGCAAAGTCATCAAGAGAACACATCTCAGCAGCAGCAACAGTCGTTTGGCATTGTTGACCCTGATGACTTGTTTAACTCTAGCAGTAGAGCTAATGCAGATTAGATCATGGACCAATTTGACTTGGATAATATATATTTCTTTATGTTTAATAAGAACGTCCATATTTCTTCTTAATATTTTCGGTTATAAGCTCAAACCTCCTGTAATGTTACTTTTCAATTGTAACAAAAAATATTATAAATTTGCATAACATTTTACATTGAAAGGTTAATGGTTGAAACCGTCTTAAATTAATCTTAAATTAAACTGTCGCACTAAAAAACTACACCAAAATTTCTCAAATTGTTTCTCTTGGAAAGAAGGTTATCATGCAAAACAATGCCTAAACTCAAAAAACTAAAGCAAGTAGCGATGACTTGAGACAATGACATTTTGAATCAGTCTTCTTGTCATAAGGACCACAAACACTGTTTTTGTTCAAACTCACGACTTCATTTTGATGACTTGAAACAAAATACGGATTCGATGAGTTTGGATCGATCTAAACTCTAAATTATAAATGTTAAAACAAATAATTTAAAATATATGATATTCTGAATCAGTCTTTTCCTCGTACCATGAATAGGAACCACAAATAACAAGAAAAGTTATAAAAATTGTATATGAATATAGACTTAGAGGAACGAGAGGGAACAATCATCTCAAAAAAATTTAAATGTTCATATATTTTATAATATTTTTAGTTAATATTATGTTTTTCCTCTTAAAATTTTATAAATTCTTTATATTTTTAGTTAATATTATACTTTTTCATAGTTCACTTTTTAACTTCAAATTTTATGTACGGCCTTGTGTATGAAGCGAACAGTAAATTGATGTTGATTTCTTATTTTCATACCAATTTTCTGACCAAAAGACGAGGTGAGAGAATGATGATCTCATTGACATAAACAGCTGATGCTTCCTGGAAATAATCAAACATCCTTTGGCAATAAAATTGAATGCATGTCTTGCTTTGACCATCCCTATATTTTTTATAATATATCTAATGACCGACTAATTCGGATAGAATACTACAGTGATAAGAGTGATTCTCACAATCTAATTTATTAGATCCTCGTATTGATTGCTCACCAACTCACTCTTTATTCATTACTATATAACTCAATGCAACTTAACTTCAAATTGCAACCACCAACTATCAATGGGACACTTTGGAACCATGTGCGAAATCCTGTCTGCCTCTTCATCTGACTGGATGCAACTCTATCAACAAACCGTTGATACTTCTTTCGCATTCTCATAGGTGGCTGCGGTTATCGTCACCGCCCCCAACACTTCATTTGTAGCCGCCGGTGACCATCACTTGGCCCCCAAGGGCTGTGTATCAAAGCCTATTCGGAGACGGTCCAGAGCTTCAAAAACAACACCCATCACCCTCTTCAATACCGATGCCAAAAACTTCATATCATTGGTGCAACAATTCACCGGCTGCCGCCGTCGTAGCAGCTCCATTTCATTCGTCAACAATATCACAAGAAGCCCTGTCAATATAAATTTCGCACTTACAAATGCTAAGAACGATCACCACTATAATCACAGCCCCACTTCGGATCACCCTCCAATACTATCACAGCCTTTTGTTGACACCAAGCATGAACAACATTACCAGCACCAGCAGCAACTGTCAAATGAAGAACAAGAACAAGAAGGCGAGATTTCTTTTGACAGTATTACGTCGACTGATCATGATGATTTGTTTCCACAAGGGTTTGTAATGGATGATGTGTTTTTTCTAGCATGAGGTTTTGAGTTTGGCTTTAGCTTTAGCTTCACCATCAATGCCTTTATCATCTTACTATGTATTCATTCACGTTTTGTATTAAATTACTTTTAGCATTAATGAGAGATTTAGTCAATAAGTGCTTAAGAATTATCGTAATCATTGCAATGTAAAGATAAATTTTTCAGCAGTCTATAATTTTGCTTTTGTTTAGATATGGTCGAAACGACTTAAAGCACAAGTTTTAGAACTGGACGTGTACACCTTCCATGAAACTACATATATTCATAAATTAATATTTTTTTATGCTTGGTAATTAATATAATGTATTTCGGTCATTAGAGTAAAGGATTCAATATTTTATTAATAAATCACTCGGTAATATATATGTCTAATTTCATTATGTATATATGATCACGGATGGATAAGGGGTGCTAGGTTTGGTTTTACCCCTTCAAAGTTTTAAATTCTCTTATATTTTACATATTTTTATATTAATTATTTAATTTCATATCCCTTAATATTTTTATAGTTTCGTATCTCCAAATTTCTAATATAATATCTTAATTTATCATCCTAACATAAATTATTGTATCCCTATATATATGATTTTTTTAAAAACTTTAATAGACTGTGACTCGTAAATGAGAGATCAGTTCAAAACAATGGATTGTATGTGCATTTTGAATGCAAATCAGTTGAAGTTTTAATCATTAACGACCGAGTAATTTATGCAGGGGAAGACACAGACATGTGAAAGAGTATTACTATGGCTTTACAAATTACAATACATCCTTTTTTTTCTCTCTTTTGGATTTGGTGGGAAAATTATGTAAAATATATTATAATTAATCCTTTTCCCTTAAACAATTTCAAATGATTAAAGTAATAAAAATAAGAAATAGTTCAATATATTGATCTTTACTTGGTCACAAAATCAAAGATTAACCATGTATATCTAAGTCTAGTCTGATGCAAAATACATCATTTTAGTTCAGTCTTTATGTATGCATAAAATTCATGTTGGAAGACTCACCCACCAAATCCAGCTGTGTGACGCAAATTGGTCTGAATTAGTCGAGACGAAATCTTGGAATCGAGAGTGTAACCAAGAAAGAACAAAAAAAAAAATGAAAAAGAATGATCTTTTCAAAAACTCTAATATTAAATTTTCTACATTAAGTTGTCCGATGCAGTAACAAACCAAAACGAAATACCCACCATCCATGCTACACCAGACGTTATTTTAATGCCACAAATATAAACTAGAAGGACTTCACATTCAGAAGGATAATTTTACAATTATGAAACAAACAAACAAACAAAATTTGGCACCACTCAGATAGCTTGAAGATAACATATATGTAGGCGGCCGAAGCTTACTGCAACAAGAAACAAAGTTTCCTCCAAATGCAATCACCTGGTTAGATCATCAGATGAAAATTCCATTGTTGGTGGACGCAAATAGCTGCAAGCTCTCAAACTGAAGGTGAGACACAAACAATGCCGTGGCAAGCAGGCAACAATATATATTGCATTCCTCTTACAGAAACTTTACATTAGAGATGTCCTAAATGATCCCTATATACGCTAGTTAATCACTCTCACCGCTTCAGCCTACAAAAATTCGAACACTTCAAAGAATAATTGTTTCACGGTTTACTCCGGTATATCAGCATCATGGTCACTCACAGGATGATCTGACACAGTGCCTTCTGATGACATTTCCTCTACATTAGGTTGTTCAGGCCGAAGAAGATCAGACTGAGTCTTGCTGGAATCCCCACAACAATCAGGCTCATCTTGTCTCTCCTCTGGAGATTGATCCTGGACATCAACGGGCGGGCTCAGTTTAGCCTTCCCTTTGTCAGGCACACCTTGTGAATCTGGATATCCAACTTCACTAACAGGCTTAGACAATGGATGCTTGCCATCAGGTAAGCTAGAATTTGTCATGCCAGAAGTTAGTGACAAGTGTGGCCCTGGAGCAACACAAGATGCTACCAGCTGAAGCACTTCAGGGGAGGGGGATAATCCCATACTTGATTGCTTTGGTGGAATTATATATGCTGATGAAGACGGTGGATTCATCATGCTTAAATTAAGAGGAGGCCTGCTGAAATCAGATTCAATCAAAGGAAGCCCTGCAGTTCCAGTTATTGATTGTGGAAGCAAATGAAATGGTGGTGCCCATGGAATTGAGCATGCCGGAGAGAGCCTACTACTTCCAGCTGTGTCCGGTAGGACCTGCCTAAACATGTGTGACTTTCTTTTCTTTTTCTTCTTTAGACCGTGTCTTGGATCCTTTGGTTGAGGAGGAGGGGGGCCAGGTACAACAAATGGAGGAATGGTTGACTTATCTTCTCCATACAGTACACGAACTGACTCAGCTATTGCAGAGACAGTAGGTGGTAGATCAGGATCTGGAGGTTTGGCAGGAACACTAACTGCTTCACGAAGCCAGTGAGGTAACTTGTTCTTGGAAGAACTGTTTCCAACTACTACTTTTCCCTTCGAAGAGGAAAGATTCAGCCTTTTATTAGGATCAGGGAGAAACCCAGAGCCAGCAGATTCACCACTTCCACCATTAATTTGTAAATCACGTAAAATATATAGCGATTTATCAACACTAGGCAATTTCCCATCCTTCATTGTCCCATAGTCATCCTCCTCCCTCTGTAAATCAAAGCTATTAGGACAATTCAAACTTGAAGCCAAGTTGCTGGCACCAAAAGAGTTGAGAAAAAAAGGTTTATCACTAGGTAAATTCACAGCCGGCCCTGGCCTATCAGAGGGCCCAGCAACTGAATCTGCAGAAAAATTTGCACGAGATATGTCAGGATTCCATGTTGGAATAGGAGGAAAATTATCATCTTGCAAACCAAGCTGATCACTGAAACCCAATTTCATATCAGTCAGGTGCGCTTGAAATTTTGAGGGTGCAACAAACCTACTACCCTGCAATGCCCGAGTCATCATTCCAACAGGAATGCTTGGAAACAAGGAAGAAGGTTTGGTTGTTTTTGTTATCTTGGGGAATTTTGGAACTGGAAATACTGAACAATCCAAAAATTTGAGTTGTTCCTCCTCCCACCTAGCTGCCAAATCTTCTGAAGTTTTATACTTAGAAAATTTTAGCCTGGGATCTCTAAGCATTGCATCCCAACTACCTCGACCATGTCTACGAACACCAATCCAGAGAAAATCAAGTTCATCCTCTGACCAGTACTCTACTTTCGATTTCTTTTTATACAAGTTCCCAGTTCCAGATCCAGTTCTCAGCATGATATTTTCAAGCACCCTCCTATGGTTTTCAGGAAAAGAAGAGAGAGACGGAAACTGACCCAATCCCAATGTTGGAGGCATGTCCCTCTCTTGTTGATTATACCTAGACACATCTTGTGGAGGAAATTTCAAATTGGGCAGCAATGGCATTGTTGGAAGGTCTTGCACTGAATCATTCACAGCATCAAGCCTACTCCCTAAAGATAAGCTAGGTAATAGTTCATGATGTGATGTCATCATGCTTTTGGGATGAAGGGGAACCCGGGGTAGCATTTTCTCATCAAAAGGTATGTTAGGCAGTAACATCTTTTCCTGAAAATCAGAAGAACTAGCACCAGAACTTTCTAACCGACCAAAATCTTTTCCTTGTGAAGCAGGAGGATGATACTGCAAGGAAACAAGTCTTGTCATTATATATGAACATAGGTTGGAATGTTTTGTATTTGAAAACTAAAGAAAAACAAAATGCTAAGAAAGAGTGTTACCGGATTAAATGGAAGCCAATTATCTTGGCTTCCAATTTTAAGACGATGTAAAACTTCTGGCGATGCATCTTGCAATTTAAATTTTTCCAAGGTAGCCTCTTGACCTTTTGCTTCTTTCACAGTTGAAGGTCCAGTAGTTGGAGCTAAACTGAATGGAAACTCTGGTCCAGTTCCTGCCCTGATTTGCCGACCATTTGATCTTAAGAAGCTTTTATGAAACGTGTCTAGCTGACTAGCATTGGGGGCACAAAGCCCAAGAACTGGCAACAAGTTGTTGGTTGGTAGAGAGTTGTTATAGCTTATGCCTTGATAACTGTTACTTGGAAGGATTATGTCAGGAGAAGACTGATGAAGAGGATTAACAGAAAGATTCAATTGTCCGCTTCTTTTATGATTAGACAGCCTCCCAAGCCTTAAAACGGAATCATCTGTCCTCTTTGGTTCATCTGATGATTGATCAAGTTTGCTATCCTCCAAGTCAATTACCAAACACTTCTCTTTATCTGGCCGTTGATCTGATTTATTAACATGATCCCCATCTCTTTCATTCACATGACACTGAGGTACCGATTCAAATCCAGGAAATCCCTCACTGGGACAAGCTTCTTCAGTTGCATTCTTCCTAGCAAGCCGTTCTTTTTGTCGAGCACGGAGTTTAGTACTGTCAAATTATTCAAAGAGTAGAAATGACTGTCAAATTATCCAAAGAGTTCATGCAATTGGACCAAGTGTACTTTTCTACTAAAGGACAACAGTTTAACTCCATCATATTGATTCATTTATCCCATTTAACAATCTTTCATCTAACATGCATTCGGAGTATTGCTGGCGAAGTCATTTTGAAAATACCACTTTACTGGCATCTCAACAGAAAATTCAGCAAAAGCAATTCTAGGAAAGAATCAGAACTTACTACTTCGCTTTAAGAGCCCGTCCTGCTGGTGTATATTCCCGCTCCGGCTCTGCATCTGGTTCCTTTCCTTCTTCACCACCACTCTGCTTTTCAACAGAAGACAAGGTGTACACACTATGAATAACCAGTACAACTATGTAGGATACTTGCAATTACAGGCTACTACGCAAGCACGTGAATGCAGAATAACGGAAGGATCTCTGTATATTTTGAAAAGTTTTACACATCAAGGATAAAAGAGAGCCAATTTTACATGCATTTTAATGCAGAAAGCGAATTGAAGTACCTCGATCATTGTTTCATTGGGATGGGGAGTATAAGCTTCTCTATAGGAGACAGTTTTCC